AGGTTTTTTTTGGGGGGGGGGGGAAGGATTTTTTTTTTTCCCCCCCCCCCCCCCATTCTACAGTATCTGTATTTTAATGGCGGCTACTGCTACAAACTATTTTCGCTATCCATCATCGTACTCGATACGAACATCGACTCTAGCTTTCATGTTGTCCATTTACTCATGTCATCAAAGTGATGGATAGATCTACCATCCATCCAAGAAGCAAATCCATCATCATGGGTCTCGATTGAAATGTTTTTACCTTGAAGATGGGACGATTAGACAAGATTTTTTGGATGTACGTCTTTTGTACTGTTGTCGACGATAGACTATCCTCCACTGGCTACTAATGGATCGATTCTCATCGATAGTAGAAAAGGATCAACACAAATGTCACTTATAAGAGGATGAGAATCATCCATCGCTTATGCTGTCTACGACTGTTGAAAATAGTATCTGACTCCATTGGAGTAGAAAAAGAAAGATCGACATTGGCCAACAAACAGAGTCCAAAACAACAACAACAACTTGTCCATACTTGGATCGCTGTCCATGTTGCTTCATGTCCTTCTTTCAATCATTTTAAATGATATCAACACTAACCTGATTACCAAGAACGATCGATGGATACAATCGATGATCAATGGTGCAAGAAAAGGACGATTTAATGGAATAATCAAGTTGGAAAAGAATCCAATCCCAGCTGACTTTCAACACCTGCAAAAAGGAGAAAAAGAGACTTGGATTAATGGAGCGATAGCAAGTGTCAATTCTTCCATCTATTTCACTACTGTAGCCTTTTCAATCATCCATTAACCCAATCGACAAGGATGATCCCTTACTGAATCAACGATTGAAACATTCAAGGCGATTGCCAACAGCAAATGAGCGCTAGAAAACGACGATTAACCTTAGCGATGTTGATGCAACCACTGCTAACAAAATGGATGTTCACCACTGAAGGAGATGGACGGGCAAGAAGATGCCCAAGTCATGCTCTTCCACGAGTAGTGTGTATCGTACAGTTGTATTAGCATCATGAGAGTGTATGGGATGATGGCAAGGATGCTTGCCATCACCAGTCAATCAGCCCATGTCGTGAAAGCAACTGCAATGGCCACTCCCTGGAGACTGCAATGGGCAATATGTGTATTGGCAGTGGTTGATGGGGGTTAGAACTCAAACAGCTGTTGATAATCCATCATTTTAATGGCCAAGCTAAAAGAGCAAACTTCTTAAACCTTCTTGATTGCCTCCTGGTCGTTGCCATGGCCGTAAGGCCACAACCATTGGGATGCCTTTCCATGCCAAAACTCATGTCGTATACCGCGATCCCGCTGTAACATACTTTCAGTCCGTATACTACTAATGGCATCATGACAAGAGTAGTGATTATGATCCCTTGAAAATCAACGCTATACTATGCTATTTCAAGCAAAATTAAAGTCACCATGACCATACTAGTAGTATATCTCCCAATGAACACCCAGAAGGTGACATCACTTTTGCAACAGACGACTCGCGAGCTTGTACCTAGAAAAGAACGTGTCCTGCGGTCTGTATGTCTGTTGTTTCGCTGCGCTAGTCTAGT